CTTATGGAAGATTAATGGAGACCAAACAGTGAATGTGAGCATAGTGAGGCAGTGGATGGTGCATTTCAGCGGCGGTGACAGAGTTGTGAAAGACAAGACAGATTCTGGATGGAAATGTGTAGTTGTCACACCACAAAATGAAGAACTCTTGTTCATCACTGGCCAAAATGCATATCTAATGGTGGTGGCTATGTGGAAAAATAGCATCTTGTAGCTGAGAATTTATTCTATCAAATAGTTTTATTGTGCACTTCGTATCTATTGTAGCGTCCACAGAAATAAATAGGAGGCATTACTTCTGGTGCAACCTACCTAATTAAACCAACACAATTTTTTACTCTAATGTCTTGTATATATGCAGACATTCACACGTGCACACACACAAATTACAATTGGTGTAATACATGGTTGTTTCTTATTCGCATCCAGAGGTTTGTCTTTCCCTCAGTTACTTCACAATTTTAAGAGCTCTCCAGAGCCATACTTACAGTCCTGCAAGGCAGCTATAGTGAAATTGCGTCCTGCACTTACTCCCTTAATTCTTAATGGATTTAGTTTTGCGACTGAAATTGGCCACAGATCTTCCCTGACACATATATTTTAAATGAAAGATTATTTGGGGGGGAGGGGGAGTAGTAAGAAGCAGCAGAAGGACTTTCTTGCAACCACAGAAACGAAGGAAGCTTTATTAGAAAAGCTAAGGAGAAGAAAAGTATTTAGGAAGATCAAAATACATCATTATGGTATTTTTGAAACCGATGCATTTTGACATTTGAATAGCTTTGGAACACATTTCAAAAGAGCACAATTTACAAAACAAAAACAAAAAACCTTCCAAAATTGAAGAAGTTCAAATTCAAATTGAAACAGTGATTTTGTCAAAATTACACCTTTTGATTGGATAATAATTTTCCCACACTTTACCATAGAAAATTCTAAAATCTTTTGTTCTCATTCCATTTCAAAAGGAAAAAACAAAACAAAACAAAACAAAACAAACAAAAAAAAACCCCACAGAATCCCAGATTTTTGTTAAATGAAAAAAACACAATTTCTACCCAGCTGCACCCTATCCTCTTTGGACAGACAAGGGTTATAAAAGGAAACCTTTGAGAATGTATCAGGCTATGGGTTTCTGCCTTTCATTCATTGTAGAACTGTGCAATTACATAAGCTGCCTCCTTCAGATTCCCCCATATGGTTTTTATAAAGCTTTTTCATTTTCCAGACTGTAGTTCCTCATATTTCTGTGTCTAAAATGTAAGTTTATTCAGTTCTCATTTAAATAATGTGCATGAGTGAAACCCCTTTGGCCAACTGCAAAACAAAATCTACTCATGAACCCAAAGCAAACTGGAGGAATGCTGTGCTCATCTGCCCACCAACAAAATGAGTGGGATGTACTAATTGCAGGGTTTCTGGCTGTTTCCATACATCATCTGTGTGTAGGGACCCAGGTGTCATAGCTCATGTTCACCTTGTGGATGTCTCAAACTTGTGAAAAGTCTTTGCAATGGAAGCATATAAATTACTGAATTCTCTATAGCTGTGAACAACTTATTCATTAAAACTTCTAAAGTTTAACAGCACTGTCATGCATTCACAGAATGCCTTGCATTAATGGAAAATCTAGCATAGAAATGAACAATGTCCTCAATCAATGTTTGAGGGAAGCTGTGTAGCTTCTCATTGTTTCGGTCTCATTTTTCTGATTTTTATTTCAGTTCAGGGCCATCTCAACTATAAATAAAAGTAACACTTTTTCATGGAATGTCTGAAGAATTTGATGTTTTGACTTTGCAGTAGCAAACATTGTCTGCAGCTCAGATAACATTTCTCCTTTCCCTTTATTTTCTGGAGGAACTGCAGAAGTTGTAGTAAGGAATGAAAAAAGATGTTTGGGTAAATATGCATCAAAGGGCAAACTCAGTATGACTTGTGTAAAAAGAAGTCCTGCCTAGCTAGTCCAGGAATTTCTTTAAAGGATTCCATGAGCGTGCAGACAGTAGAGGTCTCAGTGGCTGAATTTACAAAAGACTTGACAAGGATCCTTACCAAAGCCTTCTGGAAGATAAGCTCTCAGGAAAAGATGCTCTCGTGGCTACCCTCGTTGATTGGTTAAAAGATGAGAAATAGATGAGAGGATACAACTGAGAAAATGATATGGAAATGGAGGCAAATAGAGTAGAGACAACATTTGCTGATGAGATTAAATCCTTCAGGATAATAGTCTTAAAGAATTCAACAAAACAAGACTTATTTACAAAGAGATATAGAAGGACTTTCTGGAGTTGAGTACAGGTATGTCAAAATAGCAGGTAATTATGTCTGTAAATATCATGGAATCATATAATGCTTAGAGTTGCAAGGGACCTTTAAAGGTCATCTAGTCCAACTGCCCTGCAGTGAACAGGTACTGGGTCTGATCCAGCCTTGCTTGAAAGTCTCCAGGGATGCACCAACTGCATCTTTGGGCAACATGTACCAGTGCCTCACTGCTCTCACTGTAAAAGACTTCTTTCTTGCATACAAAGATATAAGTAAAGGATATAAGGATACAAAGGAAGTAAGGGTATAAAAGGATGCACATAGCTAAAAAAAAAAAAGGAAAAGAAACAAAAAAGCAAAAACTAAATTTATAGAAACATTGATGGATTATGAATGACCTTGGATGACCTTGGAATTGTTTTTAATTATTTTTGTAAAAATATCAGTTCAGCTCAGTGCTCAGGAACAGTCAGATTGGGAAACTGAGCATCATTAGGAAAATAAATAGAAAGGAAAACATGAAGAGAAAACCTGGTGACCTGCAATTTCAATTTGCATCTAGTTCATGTGCCCAACCTAAAGAATGATCAAAGCATGTAACTATTCTTATATTTAGACTAAAATGACTGGGACACTTCATCTGGAAAAAGAGATGACTAACAGTGGATTCAGGAGCAGCCTGAAAAATCACAAATGGCACAGAGGAAATGAATATTTTCAGCTTATTTTCTGTTGATAGTACTTCTCACAATATCAGAAGGGAGCAGGGAATTTCTCATGAAATTTTCCATTGGGTAGATGAAAACAAAGCAAAATGAAGTATTTTTTCCTCAAAACAGAGGCAAGCTGTGAAACTCGTTAACACTAGATATCATAGATACCAAATTTTACATGTGTTCAAAGAAAAATGGATAAACTAACAGAAGGAAAACCCATGTGCAACCATTAAGCATGAATCCATCTTTTAGGAAACTGCTATGGCACAAACATCTTGAGGCTAGAAGAGTACCAGGAAATACCCCTAGATGCCTGTTCTGTTCATGCAGCTCCTCTAGGCCTTGATCCTGTGCATCACCAGAGGCAGCATACTTGATTAAACACACTTTTGGACTGCCACAGCATTGCTGTTTCTACGTCGTGTTTGGAATCTGAAGTTAATTGATGGTGAATGGATTGAGTTGCCTCATGAGCACTGAACAGCAGTTATCACAGAATCACAGAATCGTTTGAGTTGGAAGGGAATTTCAAAGGCCATCCAGTCCAACTCCCCTGCAGTGAACAGGGACACCTGCAGCAGATCAGGCTGCTCAGAACCCCCTCCAGCCTGACCTTGAGCATCTCCAAGGGTGGAGATCCGCCACTTCTCTGGGCAACCTGTGCCAGTGCTTCACTACTCTTACAGTAAAAAACTTTTTTTGTTCAATCTAATCCAAATCTCCCCTCTTTTAGCTTGAAATCATTTCCTTTCTCTTATCCCAACAGACCCTGCTAAATAGTCTGTCCTTCTCTTTCTCACATCCTTCCCTGAGATACTGAAAGTTTTCCTGACTCCTCTCCAGGCTGCACAACCCCAGCTCTCAGCCTGTCCTCACAGGGGGAGGTGTGCCATCCCTTGGGTCATTTCTGTGGCCCTCCACTGGATGATATGCATCTGTTTGATGCTTCTTTACCGCTTCACCTTTCTGCTTTGCATCTTTAATTCCATCTTTCTTTTCTCCTAAACAGCCATCACTATTCCCATGAGCTTTTATTTTGGGTGGCATCATTTACCTGTGTTTCTTTGGAACCCAAATGATTGTAATTCTGCTGAATGGCGCTTTCTTACCTGGCTGAAAAGAAGTGGTAGACATGAGATTTACTGCTGTTTCTATAATCTGTCTCCAGTGCCACACAAGAGAGAATTCCTATGCATCACACCAGGCACAACCTGACACTTCTGACAGCAGAACTGAAACGAACAGCATTCTACAACTACTCTCAGGCAGATCAGAGGGAGAAAACGTTTATGAAAACAGTAATGGATGAAAAGACTGAACTGCAAGATCAGTAGAGATGAAAGGAAGTGCACTGTGAACATTATGCTGGGGTTTTCTCTCAAAAGCTCCCTGTGGTACAGGTGCCCTAGCAGTAGGTTGGCCTCAGCCATTCGCTGCCCTGCCTGCAGCTGCTGGCGACCTGCCTGACGGGTGCCAGAGCAGAAAGGGCAGCTCTGGTAGAGCTGTAGTGAGGCACAGGGCGGCGGGAGGAGGCCGCAAGGCACACGCTGGGACGCGTGGCGATGCTGTTTGGCTGTAACCAAGGCGGGCCCGTGGGTCCTCGCGGGGTTCCCCGCCAGTGGGAAGCGGAAGGCCGGGGGAGCTGCCGTGCGGTGCCGGCTGCGAGGTGCTCGTTGTCAGCGAGAACGGGAGGAAATGACTCAGAGCGCGAATTTCTCAATGCTTGCTGAGGGAGAGGGGACAAAACGACGGCACTGCCCGCGGCACACGCGTCCATCCAGCCGCTCAGCTGCCTGCTCTCGGTGAGCGCAGCAGGGCCGGGCCGGGCGGGGCGGCCGGGAGGTGTGCGCGCCTGAGGCGGCAGCGAGGCGGGGCGGTCGCGGCCCCTCGCCGCTCTCCAGCGCCCGCCGCCGCGCGCGCCTCCCTCCCTCCGCCCGCTGATGCAATCGGAGCCCGCGAGCGGCGGCGGCGGCCCCGGCAGCAGCAGTCCCAGCCTCGGCGGAGCCCGTGCGGGGATCGGGCGGCGCGCGGTCCGCATCGCATCGCGCGGGGAGCGGCGCCGTTCGGCAGCACCATGAAGGTAAGCGGGACCGCTTCTCCGCGATCCCTTCGTCCGTCCTGCGGGAGATACGGAGTGGCAGAGGGACTTTCCTCGGCGAACAAAGGAAGCGGTGGTTCACGTTTCTGACGCTCTGATGTTGCTTTGCGGAGGAGAATTCTGTCCCCGAGATTTATCGTTTGAGACTCGGAGGCAGGATGCGGTGTGATTCGCTTTCCATGCTGTTTCATTGCAGGCAGCGTACGTGGAAAAGAAATGAGTAAGGAGGGGGGAGGGAGAGCGTATCATTCCCTCCGGGGGATTTCTTACACTTTATTCGTACTGTGGGACTCTTAATGACTGAAAATAAGAGAACCATCAAGGGCACGATCTGCCGGCAGGCACTGTGCCTTCTTATGCCCACGAGGTCTTTATAGGTCTCGGGGCTGCCCTGCTACTAAAATAGAGCACGGGTAAAACCCGGTGACGTGTTCAGAGGTTTTGAGTAATTTCGGGGACAGCTTCAGATAACGGAAGAGCTGTTGGGAGCGAATGCTAACGTGAGAGATGAGAATCTGTGGGAACTCTTCTTTTACCAGTCATGCTTATGTTCTGCTTAGTGAGGCTGATCTGAGGATTAAATGGAAGCCTTGCTTGTCAAGGCAGAGGGCATGGAGGTGGCAGGGTGCTTCCCACACCCAAGGAACATCACAGCTCCTTTATACCCTGTGGGGCAGCTTCATGAATGAAAGTCCTAGGGTTTTGAAGAAGGTCTGTGCTGGGCTGACTGTGAACTTCACAGCTACAGCCTGCTCCCAAAGTTAGCAGGTGAGGAGAACAAGACTGGCTTATTTGCTATCCTTGGTTAGCTCTAACAGATGGAATGTGGGTACAACAGGTATGTGACTAGCAGGGATCTTCAGCTGTTTTGCTGCTGCTGACAAGCGTTACTCTCATCCCACCCGAGGGCTTGCTAGCATTTCTCTTCCCTGGGTGGGTCTGGCACTGATGCAATGCTCTAACAATGGCAGGTCTGGAGCAGGTGAGTGCTTTGGAGGAGCGTGAGAAGCCCTGATGAGTCCCAGCTGCACTTTCTGCATTTGGAGAGAGTGGTGAACCAACGGTAGCAGAAGAGTGATCTGGAACTGCTCAGGGAAAACTACCAAGTAGCTTCTCCCTGCCAGTGTGAGCAGGGCCAGAATACAAGCCTGCCAAAGAGTGAGACCTGTCATATTTTCTACCTCTTATGTTGTTGTACTTGCTGTGTGTTGAGGAAAGAGGGCTTGATCCTGGTTTCTTGGGGCATTATCCAGCACCTGACAGTAATGTTTTGGCATGCCCATGCAAAAAACAAGTAGCAAACAAGCCATAGACCTGCTTGCTTTCTCACAGCAGTGCTAACTGTGCTATGTATTTTTACTGTGGAGAATACAATACGAAGCAACAGCTGCAGCAGAAAAAGATCTGTACAGTCCATCATTCTCAAGTCGTGTAGCCTTGGGCAAGTCAGCTCTGTCTGAGCCCTTTACCCTTTATTTGCCTCATCTGTTCAGACTGCAAGCTCTTCAGGGCTATGGCTGTCAGTGTGTATTTGTAAAGCATGCATCAAAGGTGCAGAAAATTACCATTTGATTATCAGTTCTTGAAAAAGAAAAATGAAAAAACCCAACCCAGTACATTTATAAAGGTACCAGTAAACAACAGCATTGTTAAACTGCTAATCCCTTCACCTTATTTATCATTTCCTGTCTTTAGTCTCATCCATTCCTTGCTCCATTTCCACCCTTAACTCTCTTTTTCAGTCCTGCTTGAAGGAATCTTATGTATAAGAAATGAATTGTGCTGATGGTTTCTGCAGCCCTGCCTTGTCCACTTATTGCACTGATTGCTGCTGACAGGCCTAGTTCTCCTAGCACTGTGCAATCCAGTGGATGCTCTGATTTTTTCCATAGAAACTGAATGTTGAAATGTGCTAGAAAGTCACATACAAAACAGAAAATTACAAAATTAGAGGACAGCTTTAACACAGTTAAAACGAGGACCTCTACTGCTGATGATAGAATGAAGGAACTAAAGGGTTAGCTCTGTTTACAGAATTTGCACAATTTGCCTTCGTAGGCCGTGCTCCTGGGAACTGGCGTCTTCATATCACTAGAGTGACATAGTGTGCACCCTACAATGTTAGACAGTCTCATAGAACCGTAGAATGATTCAAGTTGGATGGGCCCTTAAAGACCATTCAGTTCCAACCCCCTGTCATGAGCAGGGCTGCCAACCACTAGACCAGGCTATCAGGAGACCCATCCAACCTGGCCTTTAATGCATGCAGGGAATGGACATCTGCAGCCTTTCTGGGCAACCTGTTCCAGTTCCTCACCACCCTCACATTGAAGACTTTCCCACTAACATCTAATCTAAATCTCATTTCTTTCTTAAAACCACTCCCCCTTGTCCTGTCACTGTGTGCCATTGTCAAAAGTTGGTCTCCATCTTGTTCCTAAGATCCCTGTAGGTAGTGGAAGGCTGCCACGAAGCGTCCTTAAAGCCTTCTCCAGACTGAACAAGCCCAGCTCCTTCAGCCATTCTTCACAGGATAGGTGCTCCAGCCCTCTGATCATCTTTGCGGCCTCCCCAGGACCTGCTCTAAAAGCTCCACGGCTTTCTTGTGCTGAGGGCCCCAGGCCTGAATGCAGTACTCCAGATGAGGACAGAGCAGACAGCAACAATCACCTCCCTCTCCCTGCTGGCCACCCCTCTTTTGATGCAGCCTAGGACACAGTTGGCCTTCTGTGATGCAGGTGTGCACTGCTGGCTCATGTCCAACTTTTCGACCACCAGGACCCCCAAGTCCTTCTTCTCAGGGCTGCCTGAATGAGTTTTTCTCCCAGTCTATACACATGGATGGAATTGTAGCAACCCAAGTGCAGTATCTTGCACTTGGCCTTTTTGAACCTCATTAGGTTCTCCTGGGCTCACTTCTCAAGCTTGTCGATGTCCCTTTGGATGTCATCCCTTCCTTCTTTGGTAATAAAAAAAAAAAAAAAAAAGAAATAAATTATATGTATATATTTAGTCCACATGTGAGCCACACACAGGCCACGAGCCAGCCGCATGCAAGCCATGCACCAGGCATTCAAGCCACTCCATACTGATTGTGACATCTGATAATAAATCATGGGTTCTCAACTGTCTCGATGCCTGTGATGCAGAGATTAATTGTGTGACCTTTTCCTTAAATGTCTAAATTCTGGTGATACTTGGGCATAAATCAAAGTAGTGCGTGACCATAATTTGTTAGTCACTGATACGCCTGCAATTTGATATCTCCACATTTTACATAGCGATTAAATGGATGGGTGGTCCCATTTACCTTGGAAACAATTTTATTACTTTATGACTTTGTCCATTAAAGGGGCAGGTAGCGTTACCTCGTAGAAAAGAGCACCTGTTGTAGAATGACAATTTAGCAAACATTACCGTATGCTCCTGCAAATGAAAATCCAGTGTTATGCTTATGGAAAGGCATTTAATGTTGCCCGTTGGTGTGTACTAAACAATCCAAATGAGTTAGTTTCAATTGCTTAATTCATGTTGCCTTTAATGCAATCAAGAAGTTTTACCTATCTGCTTTTTGTACATCTTGGCCCATAGTTTATTATTGTTTCCACAAATTAATGCCATAATGCCCTACAAGAGAGTTGCTCATTTACTTATCTTCCCTTGAGGACTGAAGTTTGATCCAAGTTTTATTTTGGAATATACCCCATGCATTAATGAAGTGCACCATGTGACTTCTAGTTAGGTACACAGCTCCTGCTTGTTCAGTTTCCTTGGTAGACCATTTCAAACACCGTTTGATAAAAGGGCTCACTGTAAGCACAGAAGGTAGACTGCTTTTTTCTGGCTTATGAGCTGAGGTTTAATTCCATCAGGTACTAACGTTCACTGAGATCAGGGCCACACAAACTATGTATGCTTGTTTAATTATTAAGTTATTGTTTTACACGTCATCTCTTCTGGAATAAATACTTGAATTTGTGTTATCCTTACAGAGAATTACCTTTTTTAAACTTTGATGTTGAAGGGCTGAGAGAACTGAACTTCTTCGATCAGAAGAAGAAACTTTGGGAAGACCTAACAGCTGCCTTTCAGAATGTCTAGGGAAGTAGAGAGATGGAGCTGGGCTCAGCAATGATACGTGGCAGGAAAACAAGCAACTACAGCTTAAACTGAAACAAAAGAGACTCAGGGTAGAAAATACTCTGCCCATAATGACAGTCAAGCAGTAGAATGGGTTGCCAAGAGAAACTGTGGTCTCCATCCTTGGATCTCTCAAAACCCAGCTGGCTAAAGCCCTGAGAAGGCTCATGTGAGCTCAGAGCAGAGTCAACTCTGGGAGCGTTGGACTGGAGACCTCTGCAATCAGGTCTTGCTGTGATCTTGGGCTCTGGAAGGAGTTCCTCAGTAGAAAAGCTTATCGACTAAGAGATATGTGTATTTTTTTAATCCAGTCTTAGTCTTTCACACAGTAGTTTAGGTCAGTACATGTTTCTCCAGGGCTCTACTTGCTAGCCTTTTCACAGTTTACAATGAACTCTGCACATAGATGGTCTTGAAAGTCACCAATATAGAGACATTTTTTTTCAGAAGGTCATTTCTTTAACATGTCAATACAGTAGTAATAATTTGTTCTTCTGTAATACTTCTCTTCACAAGATTACTACCTTATTTCGACCTTTTTTTCCCCTCATGGGTCTTATTAGCTTAATTACCGTTTTAGGACCTGTGGTACAGTTGGTAAGTACTCCCAGAAGTGTGCCTGCCACTGAGGCAGGGAAGAGGAATGTACCTCTCTGTTACATTGCTAACACCTTTCCTCGAATTGCTTGTGATTTTTTCTCCCATCAACTTTCAATAGCCAAGGTGGTACTTTTTCATAGAAGCAGAATAAATTCTGTTTTTGCTAGATGCTTTTTTATCGCAGTAATTCTGTAAAGAAGAATCATTATAGGAAATGGCCATAAGAAGGGAAGAAGTATAAC